CAACAACAGAGCTGTGTCTGATCAGCAAAGGCAATGTCTGAGTAGCTAAGGCAGTCCCACAATAACAGAGTTGTGTCTGATAACAAAGGTGGTCCAACAACAACAGAGCTGTGTTTGATCAGCAAAGGTAATGTCTGAGTAGCTAAGGCAGTCCCACAATAACAGAGTTGTGTCTGATAACAAAGGTGGTCCAACAACAACAGAGCTGTGTCTGATCAGCAAAGGCAATGTCTGAGTAGCTAAGGCAGTCCCACAATAACAGAGTTGTGTCTGATAACAAAGGTGGTCCAACAACAACAGAGCTGTGTTTGATCAGCAAAGGCAATGTTTGAGTAGCTAAGGCAGTCCCACAATAACAGAGCTGTGTCTGATAACAAAGGCAGTCCCACGATAACAGATTTGTGTCTAACACCAAAGACAGTACCACAATAACATAGTTGTGTCTGACAACAAAGGCAGTCCCACAATAACAGAGCTGTGTCTGATCAGCAAAGAAGTCCCACAATAACAGAGCTGTGTCTGACAAGAAAGGTAGTTCCACAATAACAAAGCTGAGTCTGATGAACAATGACAGTCTCTGATCACTAGATTTGCATCCAAACAGGAACAGAGTTCCACAAGAGCAGGTTTATCTTATGAGTACAAAGTAAACATGTTCTATACGCAGTGTTAGTTCTTCGACATTGCATACTTCTAATTAGACTGGCATATTAAATTAACTACATTACTTACCAGGTTAATTTTTATTTTGGGTATATGTAGGTAGCTTGCTTTCATCACAAGTTATTGATAATTACTTACTATTTGTTTACACGTCTTAAGTCAAACACGTATCTTCAAATACCATTATGCTTCGTAAAAAGATATGCATTCAAAACTTGGAAACAAATATTCGAAGGAATAAATTATCTTCCAATGAAATACACATTACTCAGTTTATTACACATAGTAGACAAATGTTTAGTACAGGAACTATACAATGATTGATTTCAATGATAAATAGATGTAGATGTTCATAATTATTTTCATTTTACTCTTTCTTAATTATAAATGTTGCATTAGTGATTATTGTGACGAGAACCGAAGTATACTATTTTGTTTCTTATATTAGATAGTTATTTTGTTTTAAAATGATCAGAAGTACTAAGCTGATGTTCGATAGCTGTTTTATTACTTTGATGCGAATTGACTGAGGTAATGAGATGTTGAGTATTATCTACTAACATTTGTGCAGAATGTTAAAATACTAAATAACACACAACGTTAAAATAGGTACACAATTAAAAACGTTGTAATTAAGGTCAGTCTATGGTCACTAAAATGTTGACTTTACATGTTTTGACGTTGAAATATCATCTTCAGGAGTGTGTTGCAAGACATAATCTTGTATTACTTATACTTTTTTTTAAATAGGTCATGTGACCTCTGTACAGGGTTATAATTCTCACGTGAACTTTTTATAGAAGGTTATACCACATTTTTGCATATATATTCGCAGGACTTTCATCTCTATTTAATAATACATTATCTTTTTTTTATATCTAATTATTTCCAAATGTTTCTCACAGAAGCTTCGCTAAAGTGGCGCCATTTTGTTAAAAGTTCTAATGAATATTTGGTTAGTGCTGTTTCAGAAAATACAGAAAAAAACAACAAAATATTCAATCACATCTTAGCTACAGTTGCTACAGCTATGTAAACACATGTGCAATTCACATTCATGAAAAAAACACACCAAGAAAACGATCACAGATGGTGTTGCTAAATTGAAATATTGTAAATTTCATTTCGTTTTAAGACTAAGTAGTACCTATGCGTGTTACATAAAATGCTCATTGTACCTTCCAGCAACAGATTCAGGTGAGGTAGGGCACAAGAGAGAACAGCTTAAAGCATATCTTTAATGATGTGCATCATATAATGTTGAATATGATGGGTTTTTTCTCTCAAGCGTTAACATTGAGTAGTTGTAACAATCTATTAATCGATGACTAATCAATAAGTTACGGCATCAAATACATTTTCAACTGCAATTCCTAATGGCGTCACATGATAAGCAAATCGGCTTTCAAAGTCACTATGTAGCGCCATGTACCAGCTATCAAAATTGTAGGTTGTATTATTTCTCTTCTTCTACCACTTACACTTTTATACCTCATTTTATTTTGTGCCTTTTCTGTACATAAATGTTAACATATACGCTACTAACTAGTTTTGATTTAATGAAATATTGAACTAAAAACGTCAAACAACGAAATTTCTAAGTACATAACCGGATCAGGTTAATTTTTTAAGTCTTACATTCTCGTCTTTATCTAGAATGCGTATCATCCGAAATTCCGAAATTTCTGGCATTCCTTTCACAATGGAACATTGTAGAAGTTGAGAATGGTGTAGTACAATCAAACTCCGTGCCAAAGGTAGCGACATCATGCGGCTGTACTTAATACTTGCTTGATGAAGGGCATCTTCCACGCTCATCAATGGCGATAACGTTACAATGACGTCAAAGAGAGGTACAGAATTGTGATCGGAAATAATCTTGACTCGGACTCCTGCCTGTAAGGAGTTATTAATTTATATTAACTTTTTCAATGTTTTTTTTTTTTTTGCAAATTACTTTCAAACTGTACTCAGAGTTATCTAAAATCTTTACAAGTACCTAATTTCGAGTTAGAAAGTTGTGCGTTTGCTAAATTACAACACTAATGGCACGTTCAAAATAGAAGATTTGTGAATTGCATAGGCTTAATAAGAGACCAATTAAGATGTTATGCAGTACCGGGACGTTTCCTATGACATAAATGCTTATAATAATAAAGAAATTGAAATTACATTTACTTACAATTCGAAAGTGATAATAAATAATAATAAAGTAAATCACTACAAAATAAACATTAAAAATAATCTAAAAATCATATACATAAAGAAAAATCACAAAAAACTATTTTCCGTTGGCATAAGAAAGAAATAAAGGCACATAAAGAAAAATAGTTAAACTTACCAGGTATAAAAACATATGTTGTTCTCCATGGCCACTCATATAACATTCTAAACGGCCTAATGACTAATATAACATTAGGAATATGCCTCGTCCATTTTTGATATATAATTAGGAATAGGCCTTAGCTGGTGAGATAACGTTAGAGACAAGTCTTTGTAATCGTTGACATTACATTAGAGCCAGGCTTCGCTACATGTTGACATAACACTACAGACAAATATATGTAATTGTTGACATTATATTAGAGACATGTATCTGTAATCGTTGGTATTAGGTTAGAGATAGGCCTCTTTAGCTTTGACATAACATTAGAGAAAGGCCTTTCTAGATGTTCATATGACATTAGAGACGAGTATCTGCAATCGTTGACATTACATTAGAGCCAGGCTTCGCTACATGTTGACATAACACTACAGACAAATATATGTAATTGTTGACATTATATTAGAGACAAGTATCTGTAATCGTTGGTATTAGGTTAGAGATAGGCCTCTTTAGATTTGACATAACATTAGAGAAAGGCCTTTCTAGATGTTCATATGACATTAGAGACGAGTATCTGCAATCGTTGACATTAAGTTGGAGAAAGGACTCGCCAACTGTTGAAATACACATACTATGATGAATGAGTCCATGCAGAAGTACAATACTTACTCTGTAATCTAACGTAATATCCATACCAAATCTGAAAGCCTCAAGCGTTAGCTAGGACCACGTTGCGAAAGTAAAAGTTTCTTATTTGAGACTAAATTAAAATAAACTGTATAATAATCAATATTTTACATGTAAATAACATTGGAACTAAAGACACCGTTTTACCTTAAAATTACTGAAACTTGTTTATTTTCATCTTCACGAATTATTATTTACCGGAGCTTCAGTTTTCGTCTAACTTTTGTACATTTTGTAGTATAAGATAAAGGTAACACGAAGATAAATTATTATTTACAGGTATTGTGTGTTCTGACACTTCTGTCAGTCCTAAATCCATTATCAAGTTAAGCAACGTTCATCAGCGAAACTAAAGGTTTAGCAGAGATTCGTTATAAATGACATATTTGTGTTGAACAAGTTCAGAACGAGAAAACATATTCAGCTTTAATAAGACGATTTTTTTGTGGAATACAAGATATCTTCAGTAGTCTTATGATACTCCTGAAAATAGTATTGTAATTATTTGTGGAATGCGTTACACAGCTATCTTTGCATATTTTTACTTTTAGGGACGAAGATTCTTGAAGCCGTTGCCTATTAATTTAATCCGTAGAAATGAGTGTATGTTTTTGTAAGAGCAATTGTTCGCGTATTTTCGCGCAAATGTAATTTGATTGTTAATATTTTACTACACCAACAGCCTGAAAATGCAGAGCGTATTTTTCAGGTAATGGACTGCGCACAATCGGATTCACAATCGGAGCATGCTAAAAATAAGCCACGCTTGACCCTAACAGAAGCTACAATTTGTTCGTTATTAGTTAGTTTACACAAGAAGATCCTCTCAGTAAAATATTCTGACGTTTTTGTCACTCTGATTAAATAAAAAATAAAAACTTCCATTAATATAAGTTTCTTATGAGATGTGGTTTTCCTCAAAATAGGTCGATTAATAATGTACCTCATTTAGATGTTCAAATTTAGAGACATTTTGATTATTGCCTTAGGTTATAATTATAATTAGGTTAATGGCGTGAATTAATTTGTCATATGTCACCTTTTTGCTCCATTATGATAACCTTTTAATTATTCGATGAATCTCAGGGCTATGTCACATATTTTATAACAAATTTGTCCATTGTTATATCGATGAAAATTCCTTGAGAACTGTTTTTAAGTAATGCCAAGTAAAAAACCAAGGGCTCTTTTTTTAAATATCTGGATGAGCTAACAGTTTATGAGAACTTATTTTTCTGTTTTCGAAACTATTCCAAATGTCTTTTTGTATAGTTTCTCTCTTGGGAATTTATTAGCGATGTGTCACCTAGTGATTGACATTAATTTTGCATTTCTTCAATGACCGATTGTTTGGTTAAAGCGAAACATTTTTTTCTTCAATCATGATTTGCTAGATCTAAACCTAAGTTGAAATATCGATAATGTTTTATTTGCTACAATGGAGACCAACCAGTAATCGATTTCGAGTCCAACCGAAACACTTCATCACTTTACTTCAGGAAATAATGTCTATACCATGTCCATCTGAGGGTTGATGTCAACTTATATCAGAATCTATCATTTAACTGAAAGCGAATAACTCCACGAAGTTTAAACTACTTCAGCTTAGAAGCGTTTTCAGGTGGTCATAAAATGAAACTAAACAAAAAACTAGCACATAGAGCAAATTCGCCAAATCAAAACGCTCCTGTTCGAAGGTTACAATACTCCGTGCTTGGAGAGTAATTAAAAGTAATTAATTCATGATGTTTTTACGATTATAATTTCTTGTTTGTCTTTTGTTAATCGAATTTCACACAAAGCTACTCGAGGAATATCCAAGCTAGCCGTCCCTAATTTACCAGTGAAAGACCAGAGGAAAGGCAGCTAGTCATCACCACCCACTTGGGCTACTCTTTTACCAACGAATAGTGGGATTGACCGTCACATTATAACGTTACCACAGCTGAAAGAGCAAGTGAGGGAATTCGAATCCACGACCACCACACTGCGAGTCTAGCGTCCTAACCACCAGGAACGTTACACTTTCCTTTAAATTATGCTGCATTGGATATAGTTGACCAATCAAAGTAATACGGTTTGGTAATAGATGAGAAATTATCGAAACTGTGCTAAAAGAATTCATATATATATATATTTACAATTCTAGATAATTAGTATTTTAAATGTATAGTATCTAGAATGTCTAGCTGACGGTTTAATCAAAACACAATTGTTAGTGACAAATTAAGACTCTCACAAAACTTTAATTACATTGTGCCACACACATTTTGTTTAAACGTATAGTATCTAGAATGTCTAGCTGACGGTTTAATCAAAACACAATTGTTAGTAACAAATTAAGACTCTCACAAAACTTTAATTACATTGTGCCACACACATTTTGTTTAAATGTATAGTATCTAGAATGTCTAACTGACGGTTTAATCAAAACACAATTGTTAGTAACAAATTAAGACTCTCACAAAACTTTAATTACATTGTGCCACACACACATTTTGTTTGATTTGACAAATATTCATGTTTAGTTCTCTGTTTATTCAACACTTCTAAAAAATTTAGTTTAATATCTGTAGTTTCTACTTTTGGTCTAGAGAGAAATATGTGTCGCTCTGTTGATAATTTCTTAACTTAGATACTTAATACCTTTGAATATACGTAAGAAAAAGTTAACATTTTTATTGAAATAGAATATAGATATAGATACCATTAATTGTTTCCGCCTTATTTCTTTCTGTTATATGGATAAGATCTAAAGATCTAAGAACCAAACCCACTGATTTTCTGCTGATGAAAATAAACAATACTTTGCGACATAGCATTTTCAGATTTATTGGACGTAGCCCCTGTACATGCCCTTAAATAAACGCTCACCGGTGTAGTGAAGGGTGCTACATGACCAACCAGAGTCGGTGAGGTTGAATAAAGAGTATAGGTTTGTTACGGAAAAACTGAGATAATTATTACTAAATAACGTAATTCTTCCTCAAAATATAATTGTCGTTAAAAAGGGTGTATAATTGTTACTTGGGATATCTCACTTTAGCACACTATTGTTCTTAGATGTCATGTGATAAAACTAGTAAAGATCCTTGTCACAGTGTGTGAATAGATAATATATAATTCAGTGAAAACAAATTCACTACAATCCAAGTGAAATACTGACCGTACGAGGTTTACTGTTTGGCAAAAAAACTTATGACGATACTAGATGACTTCTTTTCACGGGTTAAAATGAATCATAAGGTGGAAAAAGAAAGCTGTATAAGAAATATTAGAAACATGGCAATCTTTAATTATCAATGTTTTGGAAATATGTTTTTAAGTTGATGAGAAAAACATTTACAACATAATTGTCAAAGTTTCGATAAAACTGGGTTTATGAGTAATTACTAATACAAACAGGTGACTCAGTAGTAACCGCCTAAATATAGGAAATTCTCTTAGTTTGTGATCAGGAGGTTGCGTATGATTCATTGAAACGATTTTGGGGCTTCACCATGCCGTTACAGTCCAAGTCGGCACGTCGAGTCATGCTTCATTTGACGACTGAATCTTGATAATAGCTCTACAAAAGGTGCCACGGTAAGGCTGTCATGTCTAACAGATTATGAAATAACTATTGGGAATTTTGATGAAAGGATATCCATTTTGAAAGTCTTACATCAAGGGCATCTTTGTATTGAAATTTAAGGAAAACAATTTTTTTTTCAAAATTTGGGAAAATCATGGGCTAGGCTTTTCGTCGAAAATATGAAAATAGAAAAATATCAGAAAGAGCTTATTTCGATGGAAAACTCAAAATTGGTGCAGTTTTCGGTTTCAGTTAAGATATTTTAATTGTGTGCAGATAACCGTTGTAGCTTATGTATCCATTTATTAGGCTGCTAATATACACTGTTTTACTAATACTATTAACACTTTACATGCAGTGTGTTAAAAAGTGATGCTAGGCCGATAAAGTACACTGTTTTACTAATAATGCTAATACTTTACATACAATATGTTGTGCTAGGCCGCTAATGTACACTGTTTTACTGATACTACTAATACTTTACATACAATGTGTTAGGAGATTCTTTGTTGTTAAGCGTAAAGATACACAATGAACTATTTGTGCTTTGCCCTTCATGGGTGCCAAAATCTAATGTTTAGCTTATAAGCCCTCAGTCTTACCACCAAGTCACGGGAGAGCCATTAATGTACACTACTTTAATGACACATTAAGCACAACGTATCGAATTGTTCTAGATAGGAATCTTACAAAGTGTTAGGTAGATAATTTATACTAATGTAGCTATACATCAAGCACCTGATGTTAAAGCAAAATTTGGACTGCAAGTACTCACTATTTTACTGATATAAATGTTAAAATACTACTTATACCAAATAATCAAGTAAATTATATTATTACAACTTTTTAACACATTGTACGTAAAGTATTAGTAAAATTGCGTACATTAGCAGCCTGGCACTACTCTTTTAACAAGTTGTGCTAAGTGTATCAGCAAACCATTGTGTATTTATAGCCATATGCAGTTTTGTGAACTTACCGGAGGCGTTGTCATTTTAAAAGTAGAGAAGAAGCCATTATCAGGGCGTCTTGGTAGCTGTCGGAAAGACCTCGGTCGTAGTCCTGGTGGAGGCATGGGAATCAGCGGGCCACGTGGTGAGATAAATACATTTTGTGACGTTGGGATGTTCTCTTTCCTTTCCCGTACTGTTTCCTATAAGAAAAACCAGAGGGATATATATCTTAATGTTTCATTAGTTATTAACTTCTTCTCGTTCCTTTGCCGTACTGTTTCCTGTAAGAAAAACAGAGGGATATATATCTTAATGTTTCATTAGTTATTAACTTCTAGAATTATAGCCCTAATAACATCTGCATTTGGTCTTTCACAATACTCTCTCTAATGTTTGACATATCCACAGGTAGTTTCAAACAAATCGTACTAACTTAGTAACAAAAAGTTGAATTCAGCTTCTGGCAACTCAAAGAACTAACTCTCGACTTCGACATGTTTCATCGCAAGCTAATGTATCTGTTTACGTCTTTACTACCGAATACTTTTTTATTTTAACACTATTAACACCTCATATATATATATCAGTCTCGCCAGCGTTGTCTCACCACTGACGAAAGTAACATTTTATATATCAACCTCGCCAGCGTTATCTTTCAGCTGACAAAATTAGTATTTCATATATTAACCTTGCCAGGGTTGTCTTACAGGTGAGAAAAGTAGCATTTCATATTTGAACCTCGCCAACGTTGTTTCACTGCTGACAAAAAGTAGACCCTTGTGCACCTCTGGAGTGGACATTCTTGCATATTCTTCCTACCAAGAAGTTCTTAACCAAGAAGTAAAAATGTTTCTGATTATTACGTATTGATACATAAAGACAACGAAATGTTTTATTGCTTAAAAGAAAATAGACTTAGGTCACTTTATATGCACGTGAGCTAAACAGTCACATCAGAGAACTTTGGGCCTGGCATAGCCTGGTGGTTAGGACAATCGACTAGCATTTTGCGGATCAGGGGATCGAAATCTTTCGCCAAACATGCTCGGTGGAGGATGTTTACTAGCTACCTTCGCTCCAAGTCTATCATTTAAAAATTAGGGACGGCTAGCGTAAATAGCCTTTGACTAGCTTTGCGCGAAATTCAGCAAACAAACAGAGAACCCTAGGATTCATTTATAGTCTTGTTTAATTCTGAACTATTGAGTAGAAAGAATCTAGTCAGTATCCACCGCCACTAGGTTTATGTCAGACTCTTGGAACCGAATAACCCACCGCCACTAGGGTTATGTCAGACTCTTGGAACCGAATAACACACCGCCACTAGGGTTATGTCAGACTCTTAGAACCGAATAACACACCGCTACTAGGGTTATGTCAGACTCTTGGAACTGAATAACCCACCGCCACTAGGGTTATGTCAGACTCTTGAAACCGAATAACACACCGCCACTACGGTTATGTCAGACTCTTGGAACCGAATAACACACCGCTATTAGGGCTATGTCAGACTGTTGGAACTGAATAACCCACCGCCACTAGGGTTATGTCAAACTCTTGGAACCGAATAACACACCGCTACTACGGTTATGTCAGACTCTTGGAACCGAATAACACACCGCCACTAGGGTTATGTCAGACTCTTGGAACCGAATAACACACCGCCACTACGGTTATGTCAGACTTTTGAAACCGAATAACACACCGCCACTAGGGCTATGTCAGACTCTTGGAACCGAATAATACACCGCTATTAGGGTTATGTCAGACTCTTGGAACCGAATAACACACCGCCACTAGGGTTATGTCAGACTCTTGGAACCGAATAACATACCCCACTAAGGTTATGTCAGACTCTTGGAACCGAATAACAGGATTCATTTTCACTTTTATAAGGGAATTACAGCTGACTATGCAGAGCGTGATCAGGGACATCAAGTCTCGAACCATAGATCATTCGACCTACTTTTGAACTAAGGGATTAGAGGGGAGGCAGTTATAGTCATCAACACCATCACAAACTCTTGGGCTTCCCTTGTATGCCCAAATAACAGAATTATAATATCACTCTTATAGCACATCCACGACTCCAAAATGCGAAGAATGTTATGGAAAACGAGATGCGAACCATGACTCCTCGAATTCACAGTTCAAGCCCGCTACACAGTAGGTCACACGCTCGGTTCGTCTTATTGATCCTTGACTGTCACAAAACATTATACTTGACTGGTTGAGAAAAGCAGCTTTAATAGTTCGTATCTGCACTTTTTGAAACATTTATTTTCACTTTTGAAATATTTTAAACCCGTAGAAATTACGATGAGATACAATATCCCAATCAGTTGTTTAAACAAACTTTGTTAATTACAGAGTCTCTAAAATATGAGTAACATAACAAATATAAACAAAAGTATAGTCAGCATTGCAGTTAATCCTACTAACTACTGATTGGGCCCCTCTGTGTATTTTACATAGTGATTTCACGAAGTTGTTTTGGTCTTCTTCATACTAAATGTTGAAACAAGCCCAAACAAAATTAATGAACATGATGCATTACGTAGACGGCCCTGTAGTTTGAGGGTTTATCATTCAATTAAACTGAAGAGTGGGAGTAGAGTAAAAGTTATACAATAACTTTAGCTTAATGGTGCCAAATGATATATATACAAAGAGAGGCAAAAGAGCTGATTTTTCCCTGTTGTTGTGAAGTAGTTGTGGAATGTGGAAAATGTGCTCGAATTGGATATTTAGGCGTATTCGAGACATTTGGTACGTGACGAGATGTCACGGTTTAAAGGTCAAATCAAGGTCAATGAAATGCTATCCCTGAAACTATTTGTCTGGGGTAAAAGGTCTCAATTCAAAAGTTGTATGCCACAACGATATTACCTTAAAAACGTTGTTTTTCTTAATGATTTAGCATAAATGTGCATAATGTTAGAAATCGAAAATATTAAAGAAATACAAGCAGTTGTCATCGATATCCGAATCCTGTGTAAATTTGTTTATATGATCCAAATAATGTGTCGTTTATGACACTGAAATGTTTGTGCTCGTAAAATGTTTTTAGTCTATTCAAGTGGCGTGCTATGATAGAAAGACAAGGAAAAATAATAGAAAACAAGGAAAATTAAGCGATGTAAAAAAAAACAACAAAAAGTTGTAGCAGATAAAGGAAAATACACCATAAGTTACAATCATATCAAGTTTAGGTTTAAATTAAATATGAGAAGTGTAGCAGTTTGTTAACCAACAATTATAAACAAGAGCACGAAATGTTTACCTTTTCCTATCAGTTTGCTCCCTTAACAGAAAAATGTTATTTTTATCTCTTGATCTTGCCTGTTTTTGATGTTAATCAAACATAAATACGTAATTTTGAGCACCATTCTTAGCTGGGTCATAATTATTCAAAATATATTCTTAAGTTTGATGAGACAGAAGAAAATATATATATATGGTGGAAGAACACTTGTGAACATTTTGTAATAGTTTACACCTTTTGACTCTTCAGATGTGACATGATAAGGTTCTTATTAAGAGTAAATAGCGTTGATTTGACACTTTCAATGCATAAATATCAACTTCATTACAATAAATATTCTTACTAATAACTAAGTTCACTGTGGTGCCATAAAAAAAGCTGCACAGTTACCACACCAAGTAAGTTTCGATTTTAGGAGAAAATGGTAAATGCTTATAAAGTAAACATTAGGAACCAATTTCCAATCTATTTACTCTTGTACAACATTTTATGATAGCCTGATCTCAAACCATCTCAGCGGCCTAGACATATCTGGTCACATATTACACTCACAAGAATATGTTACTAACGTGTTTTTTTTCGAGTCATAAATCTGAGAACATTTTGGAACATTTAAAATGTAAACTCTTTGTGTGTGACTAACTTTTGTTGTTTCCTTTTCGTTTTATACTACTATATTTCATAAAGAAACAAACAAAATCTTTCAGAAACAAATGTATTCTTCTATTTTTCAGGTAGTAGTGTCTTTGTTTTATGATACAACTTTAAACCAAAAATGTCAATTATATACAGGAAGCATCATTTGTTACCAAACAACAAATGATTGAATAAGGGGTCATCACGGACTGCAATTGCATTTTATAAATAAGATTGATGTCCTTTTGATGTCAGTTTTTTTCAGACTGATTTATTAAGAGACAACAGATTCAATTATTGTCGTTCTTTAAACCATAAATAGCTTTTGTAATTCATATAGAAGATAGTATTTCTGTCACGTTGCTTACTTAACTCTGCGGGTCGCGGGTTCGAATCCTCGTCACACTAAACATGCTCGCCCTTTCAGCCGTGGGGGGTGTTATAATGTGACGGTCAATCCCACTATTCGTTGGTAAAGGAGTAGCCAAAGAGTTGGCGGTGGGTAATGATGACTAGCTGCCTTCTTGCACTGCTAAATTAAGGACGGCTAGCGCAGATAGCCCTCGTGTAGCTTTGCACGAAATTCAAAAACCAAATCAAAGCCAAACCTACTTAACTCTGAAAAATAGTATGACGCGCAAGCAGCATTTTTTACCACAGCAACTGTAGCTACAAAATTTTTCCAAACGTCTTTTAGTGAACAGTAATGTTTAACTTATTAATTAGATTATTAAAAAGAAATAATTTCAAGGCTTTGAAATGTACTTTTTCGTCACCATATTTTTCAAAGTCTGAGAACAATTTCGGAAGATCTTCACATCATGGGTACTATCGTATGCCACATTACTTTTCTTTCTCCAAAATTTTTATTGCCTTCGTTTTTAACTGTGAGCAACAAGTAAGTAGAATATAACTCTTTTCTTTTACTTCGAAGAAAACTTGAAGTGAATAGTAGTCAAAAACTAATGCAGACATCACTGAACATTCCTTCAAAATAACGATCGACTGTTTATATCCTTCTCAGGTCCAAACACAGAATACGTTATACATTTTTATGCTAAAGGATATATTCCTCTAGATCGTTATCAATGCATTTCGCAAAGTCTCTTGGCTTAAAAAAAAAGTAAAAAGAAACGTGGTTCAACAAGTGCAGGACCTTAAAAAGCACTTCAGTTTCAATAGTACAAAGAACTTGTGGATAATTTGAACCAGTCCCATCTAACCAAGGCTCTCGCTCTTTGTTTATACTTAATTATCGACACGTTTCTGCACGTTCAATTTATGTATGGAAAATATAATTCCCAAATCTAACTAGCGAGCAGAAATAACAATAACTGTCCGTAATAATACCAATAAAATATTATAAATTAAAATTCATCACAGAAAACAGAACCAGAAATGTAACTGTTTGGGGGTTATGATGAGAAGGATATTAGTATATATTTTTTTATTTTGTCTATATGTTCTTCATTTCATTATCTAGTTCATTGTTTAATCTCCTTTGATGTTTATGTATACGTTGACTGTCCCATATCTTATCATTTCGTAACATTTAAAATTCCTTTTTGAGCGCTTTCTCTGATTTGGTAAACTCGGTTGTCATGAAATACTATCTTTACGCTATTGTTCTTAAGTATCTTACCTTACACAGCCTACGCAATTTTCATAATTATTGATGCTCCACTCTGCGCCTTTACGGTATCTTTGAAAAGATTAAACATGAGTTGTAGTTATTAATACATTAATCTGTACTATATATATATATATATATACCAAGCAATTGAGGTTTGCGTTCTGCATTTTCTATTACACGGAGAGTTGGGTACGTAATATTAAAACACTTCTTAATATGAAAATCAGCGGGTCATGTAATAACCACAACCGATATAAAAGGAACGTTATCAGAGCTACAATATGACATTGATAGGCATTTGATAGGTAGAGTGGTGCCACTGAAAATTGATCGTATTTGATGTGTTTAAGATCGAGATTTTAAATTTCCAAAACGGGAATATTTCTTGTACTTAAGAGCATTGGGATACAAAGGAACATGGATCAATAAGGGGTACCAGAATTGTCCAGTAAGAGACTTACAACAAGTCGTACCAAAGCCGTAATAAGCACACTGTGGTGTGTTGAAGCCGGCGAGAATATACCGATAAAGTCGCCAAATGTCGCGCTTATAGATTTCTGTGCGATCTGACTGTTGAAATTGGCGCTAAGAAACCGTAGTATTCGCATATTAAATGGATTATAGAAGGCTCGCGGGGAGAAGTGGTGTGCATTGGACATTATAGCACTACGACGAAGCCTCTTACAATGGAAAATACGCTGCAGGGTTATTGTGAAGATGCAAGGGCGTCAGAGAGAGAGAGAGAGAGCATAACCGATGTGGTGACATGAGTAACAACTTGGTGAAGTACCAAAATCGTTTTATGTATATTGGGTTTGTTATATTAATTTTTGTTATAATGACTAACAAACTAGTTTAATTCACTAAGGTCATTTTTTAAATTTTATGTATCTTAATTAAAATGAAGACTTTTATAATCCTGTACTTCACATGGTGAAAAGAATGTTTTTACTTTTATCTAACGAGTATGCATTATCGATGGAAGTAAAATGTTTGGATTAAGTGAAGTACTAAGCACGCAAAGTTAAGGAAAAGAAGTGAAAAAAGAGAAGTAGTCTTAAAATGTTTTTACTTTTATCTAACGAGTATGCATTATCGATGGAAGTAAAATGTTTGGATTAAGTGAAGTACTAAGCACGTGAAGTTAAGGAAAAGAAGTGAACTAAGTAATGATTAAGACCTTAAGTAAGTCTGAAAGCTCTGGCAGTAGGAGTATGTCTGTAAAACGTCTTTAGTTAAACAACTTAATATCGCCATTTTCAGCGAAACAAAGAGACAACACGCAAATTCCAAACTTTACAAGCCAACAAACATATCTCAAGAATCTCGTCAAATTCCTTGTGAAATGAAAACTGAAAAGTAAAAGTGTTAGTTTAGTTGGCTAAATGTTGCGTGTTTGAACTAAAGCCGATCTCAGTTGTCCACTTCAGATAAATGAAATACTTTAATGCAGTATATTTCACCGAAAGGCATCTATCTGAAGTGTGATAAATTTTTTATAGCATCATTTAGATATTTATTACAGTAATATATTTCATTGTTCACAACCTACAGTGGAATGTAACAAGTCTGGTTGTTATATTACACCTAAAATATATATAATATACATCAATCCTTCAGGATTACTTGACGTTTAAATTTAAAATAACTTGATGAGTCCTTCAGCAATGTCTGTTTCGATCATGACTACAAAATATTTTTAATGCTGAGAATGTTTATGTTCTATGCAATCAGTTTCATGTATATTTTATATGTTACTGAATGTCATACAAGATTTCTTGTAGGCCATTTCAGTCAAAGGAGAAAAATAGCACGATTCTGAAGATAATTCTTTTCAAATAAGATATCAAGTACTTGTGTATGTTTTATTCACATCTAGGTGAATATAACATGTTTTTTCAAGTGTGCAATATTTTTGGAGCAGTTCATTCAAATGTTTACTTTAACACATGGCTCGATTGTACTGAGGTAACTAAATCACTTGTCACATGAGAGAGGATACTGATTCGTATGCATTACTTAACTGAAAGAGAGCATCTTTAAACACTTCCCACAACTTTTCAACGATATTTTTTTTAAGTCTTGTGGCCGTCCCTCAAATGCTTTGCAAATATTCCTTCATTAGTTTAAGATTTGAATTCAATATATTGTCTGAAAACCAAAAGCCTAGTGGCAAAAATTGTAAAGTTACCAATATTAGTATAAAGAACGCTTTATTCATTTAAAACTTTTGTATTTAATACGAATAACACCACAGTTGAAAACTAATACAGTTCTTTGCTTACACTAACAAATCTTTATAGGATATTCTGAAATTTATTAAAAAATAACCTTTTCGGGTAAATGTAGTTTCTATTTCTCCATTAATGAAAAGCTAAAATTTAAGCTATAATGAACTTTTAAAGTTTTGAGGTTGTTTCACTGAGCTACATACTATGGAGATGTTTTGGTACAGAGTTGTATAACTAAAGTACATATCTTTTAGTTTTCTTTTTAAGCTACTACATATTACGGAGATATCTTATTAAGGTGCAAAGTACGGAGTTGTCTCACCAATTTCCTTACTACGGAGCTCTCTCGCTAAAGTACCTACATCAGTGTTTGTCACTAAAGTACCTACATCAGTGTTTCTCACTAAAGTACCTACATCAGTGTTTGTCACTAAAGTACATACATCAGTGTTTCTCACTAAAGTACCTACATCAGTGTTTCTCACTAAAGTACATACATCAGTGTTTCTCACTAAAGTACCTAAATCAGTGTTTCTCACTAAAGTACATACTATAGAAATGTTTTCTGAACTTTCCTACTACGTAACTCTCTCACAAAATATATACCATGGGGTTGTTTCACCAACCAACATGCTCTGGTGTTGGCTCTCTAAGCTACGTACTGTGACGTTTTCTCAATACGGTACATAATACGAAGGTGCCTTATGAAGTTACATTTATTATTGAGATTTCTCACTAAAGAACATGAATTGGGGTTGTTTAGTTAAGCCACATACACCGGAGTTGTCCCACTATGAGATCTACTACACGGTTGTTTCATTAAAGAATATAATACAGAATTGTCTCACTGAACTAACATAATGGGGTTGTTTAGTTGAACTACACAAATCGGAGTTGTCTCACTATGACATACTACACTGTTTTCTCATTAAAGTGCATAATACAGAGTTTTCTCATAAAAACAAAGTACGTACAGGAATAATAGGTAGGCAAACAACGATTTACAAGTATAAGGAAGAGTTTTATTGATGGCAGAACATACTAGATTGCTTCGACAGAATTTTATACGTAAAGTTATACTTCTTCATACAAAATGTATAAATACTACGACTAATTAACTAAAAGTATTTAACCGACTTGCACATCAAGACCTTGTTTGACTATAACAGGCAAGTAGTTATTAAATCCTATAATTTAACTTTAATCAGTCGTGTTAGTGACTCATGATGAAAAGGAGAAAACTTTACCGTGACATATCTCTTCTCGTCTAGATGTCCTTGAAGTTGTTTCAGTAGTGACATTTCTCTTACGCCAAGACTTCTAGCAGTGAGCTGAATGAGCTCTTCCAAGTCTTCTATAGTGGCGACATCGCGTAGTGAACACAATGGTCTCTGACCCCAGATCACAACAAGCATTGACCACACCAACACGAAACTTAAACGGTTTCCACTTCCAACCATGATGATGTCAGATGTTATAGGGATAATCAGGAACTTGATCAAGAAATACAAACAAAATGTTATAAGTTCCCATGCTTAGACATGATACCGATTAAAACAAAATAAAAATAATATTTTGTTCATAAAAAAGTGATCCGTTTGTTAATAAGTTTTTGATTTTGTATGGGTCAAAAACAAGGCTTTTTATCACATCCAATACACATTTTACATTCACAATTTAAATGATAATATTTTAAGCACAATTCAAAAAGTAGATATTTTCTTTCCTTTGGAGATAAATTGTCATTCTCTTTTTAAAGATAACGATATTATTGTGTCCGTTTTATTATGTTTCGCTGTCATTGCAGTAATCAATTGACGAATCTCCGATTCGGCTGAAAATGTCAGATCGATTGTCATGCAACTGTTTATGTTATTAACTATCATCCAAACATTGTATATATGTGTGTACTTCATCGCTGTTTCTTCAGATGACTTGTGTTTTGACACAATAATATACTATACTTACAGTTCTATATTTGACATACGGATTGAAGACCATTTCTTACGCACAGTTCTTTAGGATTATTTGTTCCACTGTTAGTCCATTAAAAACAAATAGTTTCAACGATCTAACATGGAATTTTAACACCTGCCACACGAGCCAGCTCAGCTTTTTTTAGTACTGAACCTAGGATAGTGAACAGGGGGTTATTCCCGGAAACTGGTGATTTAGGGTTATTTCGATAGATCTCGATGAATAAAGCTCGGCACAACTTCTAAAACGAAAACAAACAAATAAACTAAATATTAATCAAAAGTTGACATGATGAAATCTTTATGTATTATACTATGGTGGTACCATACTGGGCATTATACCATCCTTTTTGTATTTACTCTTCATTGCAGAAATGGTATTGTTAACTTAAGAATCGCTAGAGACATCATCTTCAACGCTGCATTTTTGGGCTTTAATGTGCCATTAATTTTACAAAATATTGAAACTAATGATTTCTTATATATGATTCCATTCCCACTTTTTGAAGATAACGATACTATTGTGTCCGTTCTTTTTATATTTCGCTGTCACTGCAGTAATCAAATGATTAATCTCCAATTCAGCTGGTATGTCAAATAGATTGGAATATCTTCGAATAAGTTTTTCCTTCATCCGACCAGGACCCACGGTTTAACTTAATCGCTACACTTAAACCATCACATATACAACCACATCTAGAAAATTTCAAGCATATTTCATTGCTACATCGTTTTACTTTACATTACAAGTTAACTTCTCCATGTTGGCTCTCATGTTCACGGGTTAGGTGACAGGTCAGGTCTTTTTTTTTTTGTTAGTTAAAACAACTGAAACCTTTTCGGAATTGCTCATTTTTTAGATCCATGTCAATATGCCGGCTTGGCACGTGTTGCAGGTGTTAAGATGTTACTTACAGCATGTTAGAAAAACCTTGTATATAATAATACTAACTTATATAAATACTTGTATAATACATTGTTATGATATAATAGTTTAATACATATATGGGAATTCAGAAGACATTATAAAATAATTTAAGTTATATTTATCAAAATGTTTTCACCAAAGGTTTTGTCTGACAGCATTATTTGATATTTCACAATGTTCAGTAAAAGTGGAAGATACGTTTAAAACAGGAGACTGTAAATAAATAATCATGAGGTAAAATCTGGAATGTTACACAGATAAAAAATAATAGAATATTTAATTATTTCCAACAAAATAATAATAACCAAATTTTTTGTAATGTAAATAAATTACAATTTACTTTAAATTCGTTGTTAGAAGGATTTTTGTTTACTATATTTTTGTATAATGTATAGTGTAATAATAAGATTTTTAATGCCAAAACATTATAAATTTGTACACGAATTGCCATGTAAAACAAAAACTACATAAGTTGAAAATAAAAATCCTTATTGGCAGACAATTCGTAACAGTATTTTCAATTTAAAGAGCACCTTAAGCGAGCGACACTTGTTAAACACCAAGGTCATAGGCCCCTAGGATGCAGATCTTCATTTGGAAATACTCGCCAGAAGGCAGGCAACCAATCGGTAATACTTGCCGAAATAAGAGCTGAGTTCATCTTTGAATGGATTGATTGTAACGTTAATTATTGAACCATAACCACTTTTATAATGCACTAGGATCTGAGAGTTCGGAGGGTGTTCAGCAGCATCGAGGCAGGATTCTTGAACCTTCTGATACGCAGGCCAGCATGCTAACCACTTGACCACGCCCGACCTTCACAGACAAGAAGTACTGCTATATTAATGATGCAGAATTGTTACTTTGCGTAGTTTCGTCTTAGAAAAGTATATCCACCATCCTATCTACAGACAAGAAGTTTTGCCATATTACTGATGCAGAATTGTTACTTTGCTTAGTTTCGTCTTAGAAAAGTATATCTACCATCCTATCTACAGACAAGAAGTACTGCTATATTAATGATGCAGAATTGTTACTTTGTGAGGTTTCGTCATAGAAAAGTATATCTACCATCCTATCTACAGACAAAAAGTTCTGCTATAATACTGATGCAGGACTGCTACTTTGTGAGGTTTCGTCTTAGACAAGTATATCCACCATCTTATCTACAGACAAGAAGTACTGCATTAACTAAAGTACAATTGAGTGTTGAATTTGTAATAACAAACAAATTGTTTGAAATTGAATAAGTAGAAATTAATATTTTATTCCATCGAGTTTGACTATTTGTACAGCGTACTTCAAGGCTTTCACATATATTAATTTCATTACAAAATAGTCCTGAAAATTACACATTTGTTTCTTATTATCATAAAAACATTCATACACTGATTTAACTTAGAATCTACGAAGTTCTGAAACGGACTGTGCTGTGTCGACTTATACATAAAATTTTCAAACGCTACATGAATATTGTATGTATAACATTAACTAACTGTTTGTATATATGAATAAACATACACTAGATATTTTCGTGTGCAACGAAAACGTATATAGCAAGACATTTATCATAGCCGATATGGTCTTATTTTCATTCTTACGTCTGATTTTGCCCTCTAGTACATTTATCATAGCCTATATGGTCTTATTTTCA